GCGCTGGGGCGGGCGCTGTGGCGCCTGGCTGCTGACAAGGCTGGGCTGAGCGCTGAAGTGGCGCTGGGGCCCCAGGGGCCGTGGGAGGCGGCCGCTCAGGGCGGGGGAGACGACCACAACAGGGATACCGAAGTGCAGTGAGCAACCGGGCAGCGGCAGGTGTGCGTCAGAGTCTGTTGAAGCGGTGCGCTGCGCAGCATGCACGCGTTGCACGGCGTGGGTCACTTGTTGACTGGCCGGTACCAGGGGAGCGCGCCTCGGATGTGTGACTATTTGCGGTCAGCTTGTTGATCAAGCTCCTTCAATGTAACTTGTCTGATGCGCTGTGCTGTTTCCCTGCAACTGTCGCCAGCTGGGGTGGGGGGACGCAATCACGAGCATGGTTGTGTTCGCCCACCAAACACCTTAGCATGAGCCGCACACAGACAGCAGGCAGTTTCTTTTTTTAGTGGCTTACAGGGCATCGACAGGTTTGAGGCGTGCAAGGGGCGGGCAGCGCTCGCGTGCTATGGTGCTGCATGTCTGCATATGTCTATAGACTATGCCCGTGCACACGCTCAGCATCCCGGGCCCCCGTTGTGGAGCGGCTCGCAGTATCGACCCCGCGCCCAAATGCATGCCCTGCGCAGAAACCAGCGAAAAGCGGTCGGAAGGCGCAGCGCAGCAGTCCCTAAGACCGAAACTGTCCGAAAGGCCGGTCGCAAGGGCGTCCGGACTAGACCAAGGGGCCAGCGGCGCCGGCCGGCCCAACAATCATGGGCTGGGCCGCACCGACGCGCCGCGGCTGCCTGCAGCACCCGCCGCTGCCGGCCGGCTCGGCCCTTGCTTCTGCATGGTCTTGCGGCGCTTACGACACCTGGGCGGTGCCCGTGGTGAAGCCGGGCAGCTCGTACCTGGAGCAAGGGGCAGGGGCCGAGGGAGCAGAGTTGTTGGGTTGAGGGATGTTCGACGACCAGGCGGCTAGGCGGTAAGAGGCAAAATGACGGCCGTTGCCCACACAACTGCAGCCGCGAAACACACCGAACCGCCTGGCTGCCTCAAAACGCCGAGCGCAGCGCTTTGCAGTGGCGTCTGGCAGTCCCGCCGGCGCGCCGGTGCGCCCGGCCGGCAGGGCGGCAGCGGCCGCGGTCGTTTGTCGTCGCGTCGGCGTACCTGTAGCGGCCGTCGGGCGCGATGCCGAAGCCGCGGGGGTCCGCGAACACGTTCTCCAGCAGCTGCCCCTTGTCGGGCTTCGGGCTCTCGTCCGCAAACTTGACCGAGTCCTCCACCTCCGCCATGACCTGGGTGTTTAGGGGGGTTGATTCAGAAATCGATGAGGTATTGTGCGTGGGTTCAACGGAGTCAGGGTGTTGAGTCCCATACGCTGTTGTGGGGTTTGAGGATGGGAAAAGGAGCGCGGAGGCAGCGATGCAGACGAGGCTTTGGGGCAGCAAGCTCGCCCTGATCACGGCGGGCGTGTTCAGATCAGGACTGATCTGGAGATCTGATCACCTTGTCGTGGATCTCCTTGATGTCCGCCTCGGTGGCCAGCCCGTTGGCGAGCATGTAGTCCTTCAGCTGGGGGATGGGGTCGCGCGCCTGGGCGGAGGGTTGCGGCGCGCGGGCAAAGCGAGGGGTGCGGAGCCGATCAGTGTGTGTGTGGCGTCCGGGTCAGGTGGAGCACCTGTTGCAGCGCTTTGAGTTGCCCTTGGACGCGCAGCAGCCTGCCATCACGGCCTGGGCCGATTCGCAATGGGGGTCCCGCAGCCGCGGCCACTGTAGAGCACGCAGGTGCCGCAGGCTCAACGCACCACGTGCCTGGACACCCCGCCAACCCCCCCCCCCCCCGCCCAAGAACAACAGAGACCCAGCAAAGACATGGCCTGCAGCCTTCATAGCCATCCCGCCTCCAGAGCCAGCCGCACTCAACCAATGGAACACCCGCCGTCCTCGGCGGCCGTCCGACCCATGGCTGACCGACCGCACCCCAACCAAGAAAACACCCGATGTCCCTAAACTGTCCCTGGGGGCTCACCGCGTACTTGGCCTTCTCCTCCTTGCTGCGCAGCTCATCGGGGTCCGCCAGGGAGTGGCCGCGGAAGCGGTAGGTCTCCGCCTCGATGAGCGTGGGGCCGTCGCCGCGGCGGGCGCGCGCGATCGCCTCCTGCGCCACCTCGCGCACCTGAGGAGGTCGGAGGGGGCGGCGGCAGGGGTTGAGGTAGGGCCTGAGCCGCGGCGCGCCTCGTCGGGAGCGCAGGGGCAAGGGGGGGAGGCTCCAGGTTCCTGGTCATGGCGCCCTGCTCTGCTGGGGCCTTGAGTAGCGAGGCTATATGCGGACGCTGGCGACGGCCGCGCCGCGCCACAGGCCACACACCCCTGCACCAACTTGCCGCAGCTGCCGCCGCGCCCCGAACCTCGGCCTGGCCGCAGGCCCCCCCCCATACACACACCTTGAGCACGTCCATGCCATCCACGTGCACGCCGGGCATGCCAAACGCGGGGCCCTTCTTGTAGATGTAAGGGTCCTCATCGCCCAGGGTCGGGTTGGTCGCGCGGCCGTGGCTCATGCCGATGGCCCACCTGGCGTAAATTCAAATCAGCCGGCGCGTGGATGCGTGTGATCACGAAGCGCATGGCCAAGGCGCCATCACGCGGTGGCTGGCGCCGGCTGCCGGCCAGCGACCCCGCTGCCGACACCCCCGCGCTGTGCACGCTCAGCCGACCGCGCACACGCCGCCCACACGCCGCCGGCCAGCCCGCCCGCCGATCCGCGCCGGCTCCTGCCATGCCCCGCGCCCCAAGTGCGCCACCCCCTCCTGCTCCCTCTTGCACCCTGCGGGCCCTCCCAAAGCCCATCCCCCCCAAAAGGCCGGCCCACTTGTTGTTCTCCACCACGAAGATGTGGGGCAGCTTGTAGAGGGCCGCCATGTTGAGGGACTCGTAGAACTGGCCCACGTTGCAGGTGCCGTCGCCGAAGAACGACACCGTCACGCTGTCGCTGCTCTCATCCCCCAGCACGTTGCGCCTGTGGGGTCGAGGGGGGGGGGCGCGGATCGCAGGTGGAAAAGCGCATGGCGGGTGCCAGCGGGCTCGTCGCAATGCAGCATGTGACTGCACACCAAACGGACGCCGAGCAGCGGACGTGCTCCCGACCACCCCCCTGCTGCCCTCTGCCACCTGACCTCCCCCCCGCGCACATAACCTCTGCAGCCTTGTCGCCCTCACCTGTACGCGCTCTTGAAGGCGGCGCCCACGCCAATGGGGATGCCCTCGCCGATGAAGGCGTACCCGCCCAGCACGCCGTGCTTGGCGCTGAAGATGTGCATGCTGCCGCCCTGGCCGCGGCAGCAGCCCGTGGACTTGCCGAACAGCTCGGCCATGATCTGCGAGTCAAGCAGGCAAGGCCAGAAGAGCACGCCGCAAATCATCAAATGCATCCCTACACGCTCGTTTGCTCGCCTCGTCTTGCGAGCACCATGCACTCCGCACGCTGCCGCCGCTCGCGCTGCCGCCGCAGGCGTCACCTACAGCCCCCAGGGCCCCCCTCGGCACAGCACCGGCGCCGCGCGGCGCGCACCTCGCGCGCGGGCACGCCCTTTGAGAGCGCGTGCACGTGGTCGCGGTAGGTGGAGCAGACGTGGTCGTCCGGGCGCAGCAGCTTGATGACGCCGCTGCTGACGGCCTCCTGGCCGCTGTACAGGTGCACAAAGCCAAACATCTTGCCACGGTAGTACATCTGGGCACGCACGCGCAGGTGTGTGTGTGTGTGTGTTTGTGTTTGTGTGTGTGTGTGCGCGTGTGTGTGTGTATTGGGGGAAGGGGTGCCATGTGGGGATCGCAGGGTACCAAAACAAACATGCGATGCCTGCGGGTTTCGCACACAGTCCGGGCAGGTGTGCAAGGTTTGCGAGCGGCTCTGGAACACGCCCGCGCCCACCACGTGTCCCGTGGCCCGCGCCCTCCCTCATGTGCACCAACACCGCCTGCGGCGGGCGCGCCGGCGGGCGCCCGGCAAGCGCGCGCCGGTCGTCCGAAGCGGGGTCCCGGCGCCCTCCGGCCGCTGCCGGCGGCCCCGCACCGCCCCCGCCCCACCCTGCTCCTGTGCGCACCTGTGCGCACATCTCCTCGAACTCGCGGCCCAGCACCATGTCATAGTACACCTCCTTCGCCGCCTCGGGTGTGATCAGGCCCTGGGTGGGCGATTTAGATGGAGATTGTCGGTTAGGGGGGGGGCAGCAAAACGAGGGAGGATCAGGCGCGATCGCGCGCCGACGGCGCGCGAGAGAGGGTCGGAGCACGGCACAGCGAGGGGGTGCAGCTGCGCGCCGCTGCTGCCGCGCGGCGCACCTTGGCAGGGGCCGCAGCGGCGTCCTTCTTGGCGGTGGTGGCGACGGCGCACACGCGCAGCGCGGCGCGCTGGGGGCCGCGGGTGCGCACGGCCGCGCGCTGGGCCGGCGCCCGGTTGGTCATGGAGGACAGCATGTTTCCCGGCAACCAGCCGCTGAGCTGCGTGCGCAGAGGGTGCAGGGGGAGCGTGGGCGGAATGCAGCGTGCAATCCCAAAGCGGCGCCGCGCACGTGCAGCAGCAGCACACCCTGGCGGGCCCGCCAGCCCGTCTGCCCTTCCAGTAACGCAGGATTTCAATTGCCACGCGTGATTGATTTATATATGGGGTGCTGCACTCGCCGAGGAGGCTGCCAGAAGTCGCCCTATTTCACTCTTGCTGGCCGCTCCACCGTTTGGCTCGCGCCCTTCTTGCGCAATTGATGGCCTGAACACCAACACCTGGCGCGCGTCTTAGGCCCAACCTGGCCGCCGATCGCCGGCTCCCGCAACGAAACGCACGCGGCAATCAGCACTGCCCTTCTGCTGCTGCACCTCCCCGTCCGGCCATTGCAGAGGAGCAGCATCCCAAGAGACATAATATGCTACAACGAGCAGTTTGGGTGCGCCCCGCTGCCCTCAGCCCACCTCCTGCTGCAGACTGCTGTCGTGCTGTGAAGTGCCGGTCGACGCCTCCAAGCGCCGTGCTTCTTGTATTGTATAGTGTTGGGAAGGTACCTCGCAAGTGATCCAGTTGCCTTGTTGTGGAAACGCCTGCCCGGCAGTGTCTACAGTGTGGTGTGACCAGCGGGGAGTGTGGGACCAATGAGGTGGTATACACAGCTTCGTGCGAGTGCAATCAGAAACTTTGTTGTAACAACTATACGTATGAGCACGATCACGGGCCTCAATCCAGCACGATCACCTCTACCAGCTGTTGATCTTGCGCAGCACACCCATCATGGCGATGTTCGGCGGAGGTGGCTTCGAGTTCGGTGGGGGTGGTTTTTCAAGCCAGCAACCGAGTGAAGGCGGGCAGGGCAGCGGGGGCAAGGTGAGCGGCCGCGAGAAAAGCCCGCCAAGGATCAGGACGGCGCGTACGCCTGCGTGACGAGGCCATGGTGATTTGATCAACGTTCGATGAAGCTCAGCAAGCTCCCGTTGCGCCCAACAAGTGCCGCTTCCCGCTGCTCGCCAATTTCAAACGCGCGCCGACACTGCAGGGACGGCAGAACAGGGACCAGACGCTGCGGGCTGTAACAATCCGCCAGTTGGTCACAGTGAGCATGGCGCGGGTGTTGGGGCCCGGGCAGCTGGAGACGCAGCCCCCACTGCCGCACGCACCCCCCGCTCGCACAGCTGAACCCCGCTGGACCCCCTCGACGAGGAGGTCCATGCAGTCAGTCCCGCCGCTTGCATCGCACACGCAAACTGCGACTTCACTCCTGGTGCACGCTGAATGCAGGCTGCAGCAAACAGCACCCCTGACCAGGACTTGGTCATTGACGGTGCCGACCTCTCCAACGTGAGCAGCGCAGGGTGGCCCTCAGCCGCTACAAGGAGCAGCGTTATGCGTGCGTGACGAGCCGGGCTGTGATTCGCCATTGTGCTTGGCGTGCAGCTGACCAGGGCGCACCGCAGGGCGCGAATAATGTAGCCGGAAGGCAATGTGCATGGCATGTTGCAAAGGAGTGACCTTGCAACACTCAAGGCGCGTGCTCACATAGGGCGGGTGCCTGAACCCCCACGGCTCCATTGAATAATCCATGTGTTGCGACCTGCTGCGGCTGCGCGCGGCACAACCCCCAGGTGACGCTGGTTGGCAAGGTGGTCAGCTGCGCAGAGCGCGCCGGAAACATCGACCTGCAGATCTCAGACGGTACTGGCGTCATCAGCATCACCTACTTTGTGGACAGCGTCGACAGTGACGTGAGCGCAGCCATTGCAACAGGGGTATGCATAAAGCTTTGAGTCTTGGCGCGCTGGCGTTTGCATGTGACCATCAGGTCACAAATAAGCTGAGCACTGTGCATTGGGGGACATCACGGCTTTTCACGGTTGAAGCCATCATGTCCACCATGTCCACCTCATCTCGCAAACTTGTCGCTGCTGCCGTGCAGCCGCAGGCCGTCCCTCAAAAGGTCGCGGAGCTGCGGCCGGGCACATACGTGCGCACTTACGGCCACATGCGCGCCTTCCAGGGCAGCTGGAGCATCAGCGCGTTTGCGGTGCGCGTGGTGCACGATTTCAACGAGGTGAGGTCAGGTGCTTGCAAGCAGCAAGGCCTGCGGTGCTTGTGCTTTGCATAGTACATCATGGTATGTTGAGTCGCTATACCAGGTCTCCGCTCACATGTTCTCAACCCCTGTCACAACGATTCTCTGCCCTGCCGATATGCACACAGGTGACTTACCACTGCCTGCAGGCGATCTTCCAGCACATGCACCTCGCCAAGGGCGCTGGCACTGGCACCGGCGGGGCAACACAGCAGCAGCAGGCCGGCATCAACTCGTACAGCGGGCCAGCGGCGGGTGAGTAGCGGGGTCGGCTGTTCAGCTGTTCACAGGACTTGTATTTGTTGGCGCCGCCGTGACTGTTGGCCGATGCGTACCTTGCCCGCAACACCAACAGCGCCCTTTCGCACCCCGGCACTTACGTGAGCACAGGAGGCTGGCAGCAGAAGCCGCAGCAGCAGCAGGGCGGCGGCTATGGCGGTGGTGCGCCAGTGGCTGGGCCACCCGGTATGGACCCCTGCGCGTCAGCAGTGCTGCAGGTAGTGTCAGACCCCAACACCGGCGACTCGGGCGTTCACGTGAACGACGTGAGTGTGCGGAATAGGCGGTCGGGGTCGCACCGGCGCCGTTGTGCGCATCAGGGCGCATACACATGCTGTTGGGAGTGCCCAAACGCTCCACCTGTTTTTGGTGGTCAAGTATGTTGAGTCGCAACCAGCGCAGCTGACACACTGAGTGCATTCTGCCCGCTTGCAGATCTGCGGGCGCCTCGGGCCCCGGGGCTTTGCCCGGCCCCAGGTGGAGGCGGCGCTGACCTTTTTGCAGAACGAGGCGCACTGCTACACCACCTGCGACGAGAACCACTGGCGCGCCACATGACGACATGCAGGACAAGGCGTCAGCGCGGCCGGCAGGCGCGCTTGCCAGACCCTTGGGCCAGCTTTTGGAGCATGTGCATTGCGCGCGCGTCAGAGGTTGCACGCACTTCGATTGACATATTACGTGTGACTGGGCGCGTTTGCAAAGGCAGTAGAGGTTGCAGAAGCATGTAACAGGCCAATTCTGCAACCTTCACAATGAGCAGCTCGAGTTGCGCACATGGAATTGGGAGAGACAGTGTATGCGCCGAATCGCATATCGCAGTACGCATGGTGTCGTGACGCACTATGCACCCATGTCAGGCGCCCATGCATACACCAACGGCAATTGGTATTCAGTGTGCTGCTGTTTGCGCAGCGCCTCGGGAGCGATCTTGGCGCCAAGCCGCGCTGCGACAGCTGGGGCCGCCATGGCGGACGCACTCATGATGCAGATTACATTGTGCAACACCGCAGTGCGTTTATGAGTGAGGGCTGCTGAATGCCAGCAGCACGAGGACACGAATTGATCTCCGCCTATCGATATCTACTTCGCAGGACCTGGTAGCGGCACGGAAGGCCGACTTGGAGTCTCAAAAAGCTCGTCACAGGGACCTTCAGGCCCAGCTGGACGCTGAAACCGCCGAAAGCGTGCGTGAAACATGTCAGAGCACGCGGAGCGCTCCGCCAGCCGTGCCACCTCACCCACCATGCTTGTGCACCGCGTGCAGGCGAGGCTGACTCTGCAGCTGTCACGCGAGGAAGAGCGTCGCGCAAGCGCGCAGTTGGCGGCATTGCAGCACCAGGCCGCGATTGAGACAGCCCGGCGCAAAGCAGCGGCTGAGCCTCCTCTGGCCAGGCAAGCGGGTTGATGGTGACGTGTGCTGTCTCGGGTCAAGATCGACCTCTTGCGATTGGAGTAGGCATAGTATTGCGATAAAAGTGAGGCAAAATGCTATGCAGGGCTCGCACACAACCACGGCGTACCGCCCCCATCAGCTAACCAAACCGCCCCCTGCTTTCATCACTGCAGCCTCATGGCAGAGCGCCGCGCAGCCGACGAGCGGCTCGCGTCTCTGCGTGTCCTATGCGATGAGGAGCGTGAGAGCTGCGCGGGGTTCTCTGCTGCCATGGATGCGTGGGTGGAGGGTCTGGGCAGCGGCGCGCGGGTCATCCAAGGCGACATTGACGAGGTGACTTGGCGCATGCATGCGCCTGTCCCCGGCTGACACGCTGACGCACACGGAATGGCAGAAACTCTGCTGGAAGAGCTGGTGATGCTTCATCGACACCGACGTCGGCAGTCCTGTTGCTTATGTTGCCCAGGTGCAGAACTGTCGGCAGTGCTGCCTGCGCTGAACCTTCTTGACCACGCCCATTTGCTCAACCCATAAAAAAAACCTTGCAGATGGAGGCCAGGATCAGAGCCCTGCAGGAGCAGCACGAGAAGGAGCAGCTTGCCACCCGGCCCCACGAGCTGGCCAAGCAGCTCACCCAGCTTGAAGCTGAGCAAGAGAAGCTGCTGGGCGACCTGGACGCGGCGCGCGCTGCAAATGGGCGGGCGCGCGCCGACGCGGAGGCGGCAGCCGGCAAGGCGCGGAGGGAGGCGGAGGAGGCCGAGGCGTCGAGGACGGAGCGGCAGCAGCAGGTGTTTGAGGCCGCGCGGCAGCAGAGGGTCAACGACGCCAGGTGAGTTTGACCTGCGAGGGCTGCGACTCTCTAGGAATGTGGAGGTCAAGTCCTCCTGCAGTCTGTATTTCGTTCCTTGCGCGCTGGCAGGCTAATCTTACACGGTTTTCACACTCAGCCGGTCTCCGCCCCATTGCCACGTGTTGGCGTGCCTCTCGTGCACGTCTTGGGCTGCAGGCTCAAACAGCTGCGGAGGGGGCTGGCGCAGCTTCAAGAGCAGAAGCAGCAGCTGAACGAGGCTGTGGCCAGGGCTGTAGCAGACCGCAGCGCACGCCTCCCACTGCAGGCACCATATCATCCTGGCTCCTGGCCGCAGCACAGGTTGCCGTCTGTCTGAATTCAGCATGATTCTTGAGCGGAGGCGGCCAGAGATCTGCAACCAGCTTCCATGTGTAGTACTTGCAAACGATCAAACCCCTTGTCCATATCAACACTTGGCTACCCTCGGTCGCTTACGGTGCTGGGAGCAGTGCTCAGTGCAGTGCTCAGTGCAACGGACAGCAAGCCCACCGTGAGTCAGTGCCCTGACATCATCGCCGACTTCCGCTGCGGTGACCACCATGCTGCTAGCATGTTGCGTCGCAACCAAGGTTGCACACCTGTCGATAGGAGAGCAATTATCATATTGCAAGGTGCACAAGCGCTGCTCGCAACTTAGATCGGCTCAGCGCTCTACGCTCGACAGAAGCGCAAGCTCTGCGTCGTTTAAACCACTGATATCAGCCTGGAGATAGTCAAATTACATCTCATGATCCACGCGCCCACCCAGCGAGCGCGACCGCTCCGACAGCATTGCAGCAGCGCAGCACCTCGTGCTGTGCCGTGTTGCGGTGTCGCAGTTCTTTTAGCAAACGGTAGCGCATAGGTAGACATCTGGCACAATCATGCCGTCTGAACGTGGTCTGGCCCTCCAAGTGAGCAGGCGCCGCACGCATGCTCACTCGCTTTGCGTCCTGCTGCGCCCTAGTGTCCCTCGCCACATCAGCAGCGTGCGACCCCCCGAGGCCCTCTTCTTCTGACTCTGCATCCCCTCGCCTCCCCTCCGCGCCCCGAACACCTGCCCTTATCAAAGGCGGAGCTGCAGCAGCTCAAGGCCGCCCACGGGCACCTGCGTGTCCGCAAGGCCCCAGCCGGCACCCCCGACGCGCCCTTCCCAATCACCGTCGACGCCGTGGTCCCCGCGCCCCGTGGCACGCGCATCGACGTAGAACAGCTCGCCCTCCGCCTGACGCTCGGCCCAGACGTGCTCCGCGCGCCGCCGCCGGCCGCGGCGGTTGCTGTCGCGGCGCGGGGGGAGCCGCCGCTGCCAGAGGCCCTCGCAGAGGAGATCAAGCGGCGCCTGCACGCGACATGGGCGGCCGCGGCGGGCGCGGTACCAGGCAGCGCCGGCGGCCAGCAGCAGCAGCAGCGGCAGCAGGAAGCTGCACCCAGGGGGTTTGGCCTGTCCGCCGTGCTGGAGGCCGCCAGCCGGCAGTACTCGCAACTGGTGGGGGCCCTACCCCAGTTCTTGGAGGCCTATGAGGGCGTCGACGCGGCGGGGGCCACGGTGCGGCGGTTCGCGCTGATGAGCCCCGCAGCCGCTGTTGTCCTCTCAGTGCCCAGCGGCGGCGCCGGTGACGCTGTCGATGCTGCGAACACTCCTGCCGCTGCGCCGCCGCCGCAGGGGAGCGCAGAAGCGGCACCAACGCAGTCCCGGCGACCCGTGGCGCCACGGGCGCCCGTCGCCCGTCCCGCGC